AAAAAATCATTCGATTCTGAGAGCTTAAATGAAAAATCAATGTCTCAGAATGATGTTTTATCTATTTACTAGTTCTAGAGTTGATTTAATTTTTTTTTTTAATATCTGAGAGATAAAATAAAATCGATCTCGATTGAAAGTAAAATTAACAACAGTCTTATGAATAATTAATGAAACTCATCCAAAATTCACTCACTTTCATGTGGGGGCGCCGATTTCGTAGAACTCGCCGATTTCCGGGAATTGGGCAATTCCAATTCCTGAATATGGGTCATGTAGTACTTGGCAGTGTGTTGTTTCAGGTCCACACAGGAGGAGTCAGCTCCTGCTGAAATGAGGAGTTTTTGGACCCCAGCGGCGTCCTTGCACATTGGAGTGTAATGAAACGCGGTGCGGCCCTCCTGAAACTCAATTTAGCGCTGAAAAACCTGAAAACGCCATTTTACCGAGTCTTTGAGTGAAACAACATGTGGAAACTTGTCGATTAGATACTTGTAGATGTTTTTGAGGTCGTAGTAGATCGCCTTGTGGAGGAGGCCGACCCCGAAGTCGTCTTTCGCCGTCACCAAACGCCTCCTCCTCTCAATCGGTTCCTCCTCTAGGAGACTTTTGAGTTCTTCAAGACGGCCACTGTTGACGGCATCGTGGAGGAGGGAGATTTTAGTCTACAAATGAGTTTTCAGGAGTTTTCAGGAACCAGTCGTGAACGAACCATCAGAGTCGGGACGACGTTTTTCAGGAATGTTCTGGTCTTGTAATCGGCTGAATACTCCCCAAGTAGCTTTTTTCCAAGTCCATCCACCACCAATTGTTCCAGTTTTTCCACATCCCCACTTCGGATCAATTGTTTAATGTGTGCTGAAGTTAATTGCAACACTAAAACCAACAAAGAATTTTTCTTGATTATTGAGTTATTGCGTGCAGGAGTGAGGGTATTAATAAAAAAAAACAAAGGATGCTGTCCAAGACACGCGATCCTAAAGAGGTTTTAACTATTGTTTACCAAGCGCAGATCCAGGGGAGGGGGCCAGGGCCCCCCCAAACTTGCCACCAAAATCTTCAATTTTTTATATTTAAATTTTAATATAAAAACCTTATGACCTAAAGTTTTTTTAAATCAAAACATTAGAATTCTTTTTAAATCACATTTATTAATACAAATACCGAGAGATCAAAATAATTTGTAATCGAGTCATTTTTGGATCCGAAAACGTACAGTTGCGGAATTAAAATTTCGGACAGTACTGTCATTTTTATAATGTAAACTCTAAAACAATCTTTATATTAATAACCTCATTTTTTACTCTTGTCATATTTATGTCATTTTGACTTATTTACTTTAAAAAATAGTGACTTGTGGCATAATAACGGGTAGTCAG